GATCTAATTAAAGCCGCACAAAAAGTTTAACCTGGGCCGCTGGGCGATGGGTGGCTTATGCCTTAGTAATCTAGCACCTTTGGGAGGCTGAGGGGACAGATTCCTGAGGCCAGGAGTTCAAGAGACCAGGCCTGGGCAACATGATGAAACCCTGTTCATCTTTACTGAACGAAGTTACAAAAAAAAAAAAAAAAAACAAAAAAGAAAAAGGAAAGAAAAATTAGCTGGGTGTGGTTGGCCGCACGACCTTTACCGCAGGCTACTTGGGGAAGTGAGGCCAGCAAGAAGATCACTTCAGCCCAGGAGGTGGAGCTGCAGTGGGCCAGAGATCGTGCGCGCACGGCACTCGCAGCCTGGGGTACAAGGTGAGATGGTTCACCTCCCCCGGCGAAAAACAGAAAAAAAAGTTGGAAACTAGCAGATGACCCTTGTGCAGTACCCCATTTTCCAGTCCATGAAACACGGTAGGATATATAGGATAAGCGCGACGCGCGCGCCGCTTGCGCACAGCCAGCTGACAATTCTTGGTTCACAAAAAATGATGCAAATTGGTGCCACAACCACTTTTTTGAAGAAATAAGATTTAAAAAAGTCCTCAAAATATGGCAAGGTGGGTCAAGACTTCAGTTTCTCAAGAGACACGAAATTGTTGTTCTGTTCCACCGCCATTCTCTTTTTGCTTCTTCCAAACAGAGTGAGGTACGATATCTGATATTATGACATATTTCAACAGGGAATTTTTTTTTTTTGGAGACAAAGTTTCCCTGCTTTTTGGCCAGCTGAGTGCAATGGACCAGGATCTCGGCCACCACCACCTCCCGCCTCCGGCGATCAGAGCGATTCGTCCGCTCTCAGCCTTCCGCCGGGTAGCTGGGATTACAGGCATGTGCCACCACCCCGGCTAATTTTTTATTTTTAGATAGAGACGGGTCTGTTCTCCATGAGGTCAGGGCTGGTCGTTGGAACTCCCGAGCCTCATGGGTCCACCTGCCTCGGGCCTCCAAAGGCTGGAGATTACAGGCATGAGCCACCGCGCCCGGCTCACCAGATTTTTTTAACAAATTAACTTTAGGGGTTTTCATCACAACCTTTATGTCTACTATAAACAGGCATAAGAAAGATATTATTAATGCTGTTTGGACGCGCAGTTGGGGAAACTGATGACATAACACGAGAAGTAATGGTGCCACGTGGCTGTGGTCACAGGGAAAAACTGGAAAGCGACATATCCTACTTCAAACTCGTTGACTTGTTATGTGTCTGCTAGCAGCTATTTTCGTTTTCTTCCTGGACATTAGCGAACAAGCCGACACTGTGTAGGTAAAGGTTAACCACAGAACTTTTTAAGTAGTAGAATTGTAGGCCGAGCGCAGTGGCTCAGGGGCCTGTAATCCTCAGACACTTTGGACAGGCCCGAGGTGTGGTGGGATCACCGTGAGGTCAGGAGTGTGAGACCAGCTGGGCCAAGTAGTGGTGAGAACTCTATATCGTTACTTAATATAACAAAAATTGGGCTCGGGCATGGTGGCACACGCCTGTAATCCCAGCTACTCGGGAGGCTGAGGCAGGAGAATCGCTTGAACCCGGGAGGCGGAGGTTGCAGTGAGCCGACATCGCACCACTGCACTCCAGCCTGGGCGACAAAGCGAGACTCTGTCTCAAAACAAAACAAAACCAGTAGGAAATATAAATGAAACAAATTTAAAAAGACCCCTTCAACAGAGTTCGTTACAGGAATGAACACATGCTGTTCCACGGTCAACCCTCTGCTAGGTAAGCTCCTCCCCTCACCCCAATTTCTTCAGCTGCTGAAAAATTTTCTTCCCACTGCGATCCTTTAAGATCACTGTAGTTATTTCTACCCAGAGAAAGGAGACAATTTCACTCTGTCTTCTAATCCAGAATCACTTTTCTCTTTAAATAGGTTATCTCTTTCCAATAGCTTGCTTTTCTGATGACAGCAACTTCCCAAGACTTCCCCAGATAGTCCCCATAGGCTCTAGAAGCAGCTGCCACTTTTCTCTAAACACCAATTGCGTCCCTTAGTTCCCAGCCCCCGTCCCTGGAGTCCGTGCTCTCCTCTCCACCACCCTACCCCACCGCTGCCTCAGGCCCTCCCCCCGCGGCGTCGGCAGCTCGTGCTCACCTCGGCCCCTGACAGGAAGGGGTGCGAAGGCCCTGTGATAGTCAGGTAATTGTCATTTCCTCCGGGAAACTGGAAACCAAAAGAAAGCCGCGGGGATAAGTTAGGGGGAGCAGGGAATTAGCTTGGAGCGATGGCTTCTGACCCCGACATTCTGACAACACTCCCCAAACCCCGCTCTCTCTCCTCTCCCGTCAGTCGCCTCTCCACCCGGCTTCCCGTCTCTGCTTCAACCCGGTCGGCCGCGTTCTCTCGCCAGCCTTCTTAGCTATCAGGTTCCTACCTCCATCTTCACACAACCGCTCCCACCGTCTCAGACCCTCATCGCTCCCACCGCCCCCACTGGTCTCGGAACTGCCGTCACTTCCGCAAGGACGTGCGTTACTCTCTGCTCATTGGAAGGAGCGCCGTGGGGCTGCAGCGAGTCAGGCGCTGGCCTATCGCCCCCTGGAGCTTGGAGGGATAATGGCATGTAGAAGTACTAGAGGTGTCCCTGGAGGTGGCGTTGGGTACTCCCGACCTAAGGAGGATTTCTGGGGAGAGCAATAGAGACGTGATCTGGGCTAGAGGAGCCGGAGAGGGTGGGCGGCCGGGAAGAAGAAGATCGGTAGATTGAGTGGCTAGAGAGGTTGGAGGTAAGTGGCTGTAGAAGTCGGGCGGACCCGGAACCCAGAGGACGCGACATCATGACTTATGCTTATCTCTTCAAGTATATCATCATCGGAGACACAGGTAACCCTCAGGTTGTTCGCCTTCAAGGCTGGGGCGGACGTCCGAAGCTCCCAAATTGGGTGGCGGGGGCGGGGCTCACTTTGTGGGCTGGGCGATTCGAGACGGGCGGGGCGGTTCGGGGCGGCCAGGGGCGGGGCTCGGGGACCCCCCGCTTCTGTGGTCCGGAAAGTCCAGAGTCCAGATGGTGTTCCAGCGCTGCGTGACTCTGGGAGCGTGTTTTCTCTTTCAGGTGTGGGGAAGTCATGTCTCCTCCTGCAGTTTACAGATAAGCGGTTCCAGCCTGTCCACGACCTCACAATAGGTAAGTGCATCTACTTGTTCCAGAACAGATAAAACCTGACTAGCTAAATTGCTAAAGTGGAAAGTTAGCAGCCTTCAGTGTTCAAAGTAAAAAGTTATCCCTTACTACTTTAAACTAGTCCAAAGTTATGTTAATGAAGTGGTTAATCAAACGTTGATATGTGGCGAGTAGTGTAAGGGAGAGTATATAATTGAAAGGTAACTTTTTAGAGTGTGAGGTGGAGACTTGTCATATAATTTTTTTTCAAGTACAATTTTTTATGTTTATGGAAAATCCCATGAAAGCATAACTGCTTATTTGTAAACTCATCTGTGCTTTGCAGTAAATTAATACCAGCCTTACTTTTAAAAAGTAAACACCAATACATGGACATTTTTTATATTGGTGAAGAAGCAAATTGAAGAGTCATCCCTGCCTTAGAATTAATAGGCAAATAAAACTAAAAACTTTCCTTTTAAATAAAACAGTGTGTTAACAGTTCCTCATACCCATTGGGGATCCTGGAAAATATTAACATTTCCCACACATTTGTGATAAGGCATAGCCTGAAGGGGCTTTTAGCTACCCCCTCTTCATTATCTCCATAACCCCAGTCCAAATAAACAACATATATGAAACTAGCTTTGTTGCCATGCAAATGCAGTTTCTTTTTTTTTGAGACGGAGTCTCGCTCTGCCACCCAGGCTGGAGTGCAGTGGCCGGATCTCAGCTCACTGCAAGCTCCGCCTCCCGGGTTCACGCCATTCTCCTGCCTCAGCCTCCCAAAGTAGCTGGGACTACAGGGGCCCGCCACTCGGCCCGGCTAGTTTTTTGTATTTTAGTAGAGACGGGGTTTCACCGTGTCAGCCAGGATGGTCTTCTCCTGACCTCGTGATCCGCCCGTCTCGGCCTCCCAAAGTGCTGGGATTACAGGCTTGAGCCACCGCGCCCGGCCAAATGCAGTTTCTAAGTAAAACTCCTACATCCCCATTCTTACAATATTGCTACTTCCAAGTCACACCTGTGTGGAAATCTGAAGCTACCACTGTTCTAACGGATTTATTTAGAGTCAAATAATTGATGGGGTTAGAAAAGGATTTAGAAGGCAGTATCAACCAAAAGGTATTTTAAAGGGAATACTGAGTGAATTCTTACTTTGTGATAGGGGCTAATGATACAATGCTTAATAAGGCAACAATGCTTAATTGTTCCTCTGGCAATTATTGGAGATATAAAATGTATTGTTAAAAAAAATTAGGTGGGCGTTGTGGCGTGTGCCTGTAAGGTACATACTGGGGAGGCTGAGGCAGGAGAATCACTTGAACTCGGGAGGTGGAGGCAGTAGTGAGCTGAGATCGCACCACTGCACTCCAGACTGGGTGACAAAGCAAGAGACTCCATCTCAAAAAAAAAAAAAAAAAAAAAAGTATTGTTTCTGAGAACCTATTTCTTAGGCTCTTAAAGAAAAAAATCTGGAATTACAAAAAAATAAATATTGTTTTAAATAGAGACTAGAGAGTGACCGAGAAAGTGTCAGGAAGCATTTCCAGAATTTTTAGGAGTTTTTTGGAAAAGTTACAAAACTAAATGTTACCTAATCAAATTTAAGCATTAACTGACATTGCTAAAAAATTACCCTTTTAAATTTGACTTCTTAATTGGTTTTGTTTTCCCATATGTGCTTTTTGGTTACATTCCTGAGGTCATTAGAGCACAATTTTTTAATTCCGGAAGGGAAATGAAGAACCTTGAGAAACACAAAGTTAATTGGAGCAAATAGGCAGCAATAATGGAATTAGTGGCATTGAGTTCAGACAAAGGATGGGTATAACACATTGAGGAAAGGCAGGAACCTCCTCCCACTCCACATGGCTGCTGTTCATGAGAATCACATTCTTTCTCTTGATCTTTACCAACAGGTGTGGAGTTTGGAGCTCGTATGGTCAACATTGATGGAAAACAAATCAAACTGCAAATCTGGGATACGGTGAGAGTACAAAATAATTTAGTCTCTGACCAACATCCAAGTATAGTAAGAAAAGCCAATGCAAAGGAAAGGGGCGATGAGGGTGGGACTAATAGTGGGGATAAAATAGGGGAAAGGTGAAATCAAAGAGATAGAGAAGCTTTTAATTCTATCTGTTACAGTTACAAATTCTGGATGCTATATCTTTGTGTTGTAAACTGTCCAAGTAATATATTCGTTTATTCTAGTAAAAATAAAATCAAACTATAAATTTATAGCATGGAAAATAAATGTCTCCTTTTTATACATAAACGCTTTCTCCTTCCCCGTCTTGGTTGCTACTCTAGCAAGGGAATCATTACTGATGATTCCATGTGTATGCTTTCAAACTTTTTCTATGCATTTAGATACATACATATGAACAGGGAAATACAGGGAACACAGGTTGTGGAGACCTTTCCATATCCATACATAGAGATCTACTTCATTCCTAGAAATCTACTTCATTCCTTTTAACCACTGCGTAGTCATGGAATGTCAGTAGCATAATTTATGGAACCATCCTCCCTTTGATAGAAATTTGGGTTATTTTCCAATTTTTAATTATTGCAAAATTTCACTGAGCATTCTTTTTTTTTGAGACAGAGTTTCGCTCTTGTCACCCAGGCTGGAGTGCAGTGGTGTGATCTTGGCTCACTGCAACCTCCACCTCCTGGGTTCAAGCGATTCTCCAGCCTCAGCCTCCTGAGTAGCTGGGATTACAGGCACCCACCACCACACCTGGCTAACGTTTTTTGTATTTTTATTTTTTATTTTTTTGAGACAGAGTCTTGCTCTGTCATCCAGGCTGGAGTGCAGTGGCATGATCTCGGCTCACTGCAAGCTCCGCCTCCCGGGTTCACTCCATTCTCCTGCCTCAGCCTCCTGAGTAGCTGGGACTACAGGCTCTCGCCACCATGCCTGGCTAATTTTTTGTATTTTTAGTAGTGACGGGTTTTCCTTTTTTTTTTTTTTTTTTTTTGAGACGGAGTCTCGCTCTGCTGCCCAGGCTGGAGTGCAGTGGCCGGATCTCAGCTCACTGCAAGCTCCGCCTCCCGGGTTCACGCCATTCTCCTGCCTCAGCCTCCCGAGTAGCTGGGACTACAGGTGCCCGCCACTGCGCCCGGCTAGTTTTTTGTATTTTTTAGTAGAGACGGGGTTTCACCGTGTTAGCCAAGATGGTCTCGATCTCCTGACCTCGTGATCCGCCCGTCTCGGCCTCCCAAAGTGCTGGGATTACAGGCTTGAGCCACCGCGCCCGGCCTAGAGACGGGTTTTCACCATGTTAGCCAGGTTGGTCTCGATCTCCTGACCTCGTGATACACCCGCCTCGGCCTCCCAAAGTGCTAGTATTACAGGTGTGAGCCACCGCGCCCAGCCGTTTTTTTGTATTTTTAATAGAGATGGGGTTTTGCCATGTTGGCCAGGATGGTCTTGAACTGACCTCAGGTGATCCACCCACCTGAGCCTCTCAAAATGCTAGGATTACAGGCATGAGCCACAGTGCCTGGCCTGAACATTCTTATTTACTAAAATCTTTATGCAAATGTTTGAGAATTTTTGTGATACCTGTGCAGAAATGGAAATTCTATCAAAAACTTGTACATATTTTCAAATTTGGTATATGTAGTAATGCCAAAATTTAGTTTGGCTTAGTGTAATTTTGCCCTATCCAGATAAATTGCTTCAGTGTGCATTATCTCATTTGATTTGTACCTTTCTCCCCCTAAGTAAAATAATACCTTAGTCTCCATTCTAGTTAAAGGGAACTAGCAAATAGTTCATAATATCTGGCTAAAATCTCTTTCTTTTTTTACTTACTTCTCATTATGTGATTCTGTTTCTTCTCTGAACTGAGAGCTAAAGCCATTATATCTACAAACAGTGTACAAATTATTTTTCCTTTTTTTCTTTTCCTCCCTTTCCTCCCCTTCCTTCCCCAGTGCTCCTTACCACACACAAGTGTATGTCTTAAAAGTAGTTGAAGCTTAAGTCCGTCTGTCTATCCATCCATCCATCCATATCTACAGATCTATCCCCCGCCCCGCTGCACTGGGGAATTTTCGTATTTTTTGTAGAGACGGGGGTTTCAACATGTTGCCCAGACTGGTCTCGAACTCGTGGACTCAAGCGATCTGCCCTCCTCAGCCTCCCAAAGTGTTGGGATTGCACCTGGCCAAAATGAATGTTTTGATGCCAGGAAAAAACCCAATAAGTGCCATTTAATAGAATGGTCATGGCAGTGGCCTTTTTTCTTTTTTTTTTTAAGTGCTCATATGGGACATGGTTGGATCGTGAAAGTAAGAAAGTTGAGAGCTTGATTCTGCTAAGAGAGAGCATAAAAAGAAAAACAAAAGAGGAAAGTTGAGAG